AGGAAATGAATGGAGAGCGAGCGACGTCGCCTCCCGTGTGTCGAGCCCTTTAGTCTAATTTGTCTATTTCATTGGTCTAATATCTGCCGTATTCATCTTTTTTGAGTTCATCTTTGTTGTATTTGTATTAATTGTTTTTGTCTTKTTTGTACTATTCATTTTAAATTCTTGTCTTTGTTGTATTTGATGCATTTTTATTTTTATATTTGTCTTTTTTCGTACAGCATTTCTTTTCTTTGTTGTCTTTGTATTTATTCGTCTTTGTTGTATTTTTTTATTTCTTCATCATATTCTTTTCATTGTATTCTTAGTTTTATTTTCTCATTTTTCTTTTGTTTTCGTCTTCATCATTTGTGTACAGGTTCTTTGTTGTGTTTGTTGTCATTGTGGTATTGGTCTTCCTAAGTTCTTATTTTTATTAGTTTTGCAGTTTTACAGTTATGTTTGAGCTGAAACAAACAGAAGTAATAATTGAGTTTGTGAAGGTTTCTGCATTCTGTTGCGATTCTGAAGCAGCCACTGCAGAGTTGGGTGTTTTTGGATTCAGATTGTAACGATGCTGTTTCCTTTTCCAGCAGCATGACGTCTGCAGTGACTTTAGAGGACGCCCTGTCCAACGTGGACCTGCTGGAGGAGCTGCCGCTCCCAGACCAGCAGCCATGCATCGAGCCCCTCCCCTCCTCGCTCATGTATCAGGTCAGTATGATGGCTGTTTTGGCTTCGTCTTCTGCAGACTGAAAAACACTGTCTGATGTCAGTAAACATGCTTTTATTGGCCCGGTTCTGTTCTGGGTAGTGGGTTTCACTGTATTCTTTTACRTRTGTRAAATGCAAGCTCACGCACTTAACWATTTTTTTGTTTGTTTGTTTCCAAAAGCCCAACTTCAACACCAACTTTGAGGACCGAAATGCATTTGTCACCGGCATCGCCAGATACATCGAGCAGGCCACTGTTCACTCCAGCATGGTACCTTCTTTCTGTCCCGACTTGTTGAGAAAGATAAATTCACAGATGCATTAATGAGAGGCTGGTCAGAGGCTTCTTAAGAGAAGGGCTTGACTCTTCAGCAGAACATTTGGTTCTCTGCAGCAGCAAATGGCACCGAAACAAAGGGATGGTCCGGACCATCTCCTGTCAGAAATAGCAGGTCTTTGTGTCTAATTAGTGCAGGGTAATTACTTGGTGGGGGTGGATCAAACATCACTGTGTGCGGAGGAAGGGTGGATCTTCTCCTCCACCCTCTGGGAACAAAATAACCCACAACATAAACGACCATTCATGCATGTCGTGGTTGTTTTTCTGCTTTCAGTTTACAAGAGTATTTGTCATAAATCATGTGGCGGTCTGAAACTCTTCGTGTGCTTTTATCGTTTTTAATTAGAATGACATGTTGGAGGAGGGTCAGGAGTATGCTGTCATGCTTTACACCTGGAGGAGCTGCTCACGTGCAATACCACAGGTAAACATCAAAGTGTTCATTTGTGGACCAATAAAGATTCAATCTGACTTGTTTTAAATTTTGCATATTTAAATGTGCCTAAGCACTGAAAGACACTAATTACAATTCTTCAGTTCTTGTTCTGTCACAGGTTTTGGTTTGATGCTTGTCCTGCAGCTGTAGAAAACCCCAAACAACAACAATAATAATAATCATCATAATAATAATAATAATAATAATGCACTGCTCAGTCAGGAAAAGTGTGTTATGACTTATGGTAACAGTACATTGTACGGTGTAGACAAAATTTGCACTCATTGGGCCTCATGCAAGAACCGTTCGTATGCACAAATTTGTTCTTAAGTTGTGCGTACG